GCAGCAACTTGGTCATTAAGAAAACAGAATAAATATAGACTGTCACAGCATTGCACCAATCTGGCGGGGCAGTCTGACGAGCAATGCAGAGGTCAGGCGCAAAGTTTTAGGTAAATGCGGTCGACCACTGGAACAAGTGGTCGACCTCCATACATTACGTTGATTAGGGCATGTTTTATGCATGTCACCAAGTAGGTTGCCACGGCAAGCGATGTTTGCTGAGGCAAGTAGTGGGTGGAATAAAGTCAAGGGTGGTCGAGCTAAGACCTGGGATGAGGGTATGAAAACCCTAACCAGGAGTCTGGCTCACATAGGTCCCTGGTTGGGGACCTCGAGATGATCGTAACCGATGGTTAGACACACCGAGTGATATGGCTGTGACGTTAACAGTGACTTTCGTGAATCTTCGCGATTTCTGTGCATCATTAGTCCACTGAACTTCTCAATTTTCTCTTCGACTCCACATTCAACCTTCCTGTCTTTCTCCTATGGTTCGTCCAAATGGGCAGCCAAAAGACAGAAACCAAAAGCGGCGCACTGAAATGCATGCTTAATGGTTGTTTAAATTGAAACGGAATACTGCAGGTATAATTTAGGCATACAAGAAGTGGGCCATCAAAATGGAGCCTCCGATCCCGGCTAAACACTGAGACTAGACAGTGCCAACAGGAACAGGAGCAAGCGAAAATGGAATCGAGTGATGCGCGTGATCTGAGTATCCGTAACCCATCGGTTTTATTTCACAAAGCAATGAAATACGCTAAAAAAAGTCATAGAATGAGAGCAGAATAAAACATACAAAGCCGTGACATTTCGCCTAGATGTAATCTGAACTTATACCCTTATGGATTAAAGTAAATTAGGAACACTGAATTACAATGTATGGCTCGATAAACGCCTTCCTAAACAAGGAAATGAATGAGATGAGAGGAATAAATGCAAAGTGAAGATGAATTACCTACCCAGAGAAGAAGAAACGTTGAAATAGCTGATCGGATCGATTCAACACTTCTATGCCACAGATCAAAATGACTAGTTTGATCACAATTAGAATATCTGCCAATCGTAGACTGCAGCACAGACCATGACGAAAGCGACTGAACCAGCCAAATCTTCCCCGAGGCTTTTTGTGGGCACTATCCCAACCGGTCGAGGATCGGAGAACGCGCAAACGTCGAAGCCAATCTTCGGGCCACGGTTGATCGTTCTTCAAATAGCCCGGTTTAGATCGGGGATTACGGGGCAGGCATGCCAGTTCCACGATCTGCCGTACATCAGACAGTGCACCAACGGAACGCGCTTTGTGATGACCCCGGATATCCATGATGGAGTTGGTGGAACCAGTGAACGCACGGGAATGACGAACCAATTCACATTCGGTAATCGAGGCCGGAGATTCGTAACGATGTGCCTGACGTGGCGTGGATGAAGCAGACTGAGCTTGCACATACAGTGTGGATCGCGACGTGGCAGTGGTGGAGTCAACCGGTGGGTTCGTACACCATGCAGAGTTGGATGGATGAGTATGCTCTAGGGAGTTTAAGTCTGTAGTTGGAGCTGGTTCATCTGATCCGGGAGTCCCAGTGTCCGCAGTATCGATAAATGTGGACGATGTGATATTGGTGGGGTGAGGTGTGGCAGAGGCCGTGGCCGAAACCGTGCCGGTGGCGACAGGACTATTCACTCGAGGGAATACAATCATGAATACGAAGATCACTGTGAACCAGAAAGAGACTAATGGCATGAAATAATAGAACAAATAGTCGCGATTCATGACCAAACAGAGTCCCAGAACGAAGAAATTCATCCGAAACATGACCTGACAAAAAAGAAAGAAAAACAAAGTTAGGGATGACTGAGTAGTCAAGTCAAGTGTGTGATGAGTGGATAATTTAACGTAACCTATGGACACTAGATTGACTCTACATGATTGAATTGCATAAGGAGCTTTTCACACACCACTCCGCTGCCTTGGTTAGCCGAAGGCTTCGGTCGTGAGTTCTTCAGGAAAACTCATAGGCCTTGAGTTGGGTAGGCAACCTGACAGTATCACGCCACAAACAAATCATGGAACTTTTTTATTATTTTTTTCAAATCAGAGTACGGTGATTTGCATGGCACATATGTATGCGCGTCGAAAAGTTTGTTCATATTGTGCTTATGGCCACCGTTCACACAATCACTGGAGTAAAAGATGACAATATTCACTGAAGAAACGGAAACAAATAATCACCGTTCGGAACACAGTAAAATCAGATGACATGGATGTCAGTTGTTGTGAAAGCCACGACCATATATCTAATGTAAGGAGCGTTATTTACTCCGTGATCCGTGATAACAGAAACGGAACACAGATTACATCAGTCCGTCTCTACCTATCGGTCTTACTTACTCAGAGTTGTAGTTAATTAAAGAACACCTACCTAAAATGATAACACTTGAAGATATGCTAGCAAACCGACGAGATTTTTATTCTTCTTCTGTGTCTGTTGTGAACCGACCACATCACGCTTGAGCTAGAAACGATCCGGGCATAAGGTTACTACTTTCGGTAAATGTTCACACTGAGAATGATTAGAAAATTTTAACTGTGTTTTATCATGAAAGAAGGGGCTCGGGATAACCGCACATTGAATCATACGTGTTCCCCTTCCGAACTGATTAGTCGAGTAAATCATCGAGAGGGAAGGCAAACTTCCCGTGCAAAGGCAGATGATGTTCCCGATCTGCTGATGAGGGTTCAATTTGAACCAATACACAATCCCGTTATCTCGAAGAAAACAATATGAATCGCTACTCAATACACAGTCGGGTGTAATATACACACCAATGACATTCATGTGTCAGTTGAACATCGAAATAAATTCGGGTCAAATTTTAGAAGGAAAACAGTTGGGTATAATGAGAAGGGTATCAGCGAGTAAAATTAACTCTGAAACACACGAGGCGTTCCTCAAGTGAGTCATTTCTGACAAAAAGTTTGCGTAAAGGTGATGACATCTTAGCAGAGATTGTACATAGAATGGTATTAGGTACCGTTAATAAAACGTTCTACGTAGCCAAACTACAGACTCGGTTCGCATCTAGCCCGTTACAGTGACTATGGTTGAAGCAAAGAACACCCGATTGTGTTGCCTCTTTCTCTGTTTACTCTTCCAGTTACTCTCAAAGAGCAAAGTATGTTGGCCACAATACCAGGTGTCTGTCCTAGCGTGTCCGCGGTTGAGAAGTGGAATCATTAGGTCAAGCACAAGCGCCGTTTCGTCACACTTTGTTGACACTAATCACACGATGAACGTGACAGAAGCTTTTCGACCTCTGTACAGAATAAGAACGGAACGGTGTATAGAC